CATCACCTACTAACCCTGCTACCCCCACCACCACATACCCGACCCCCCCCACCCCACCCCACGACAGCTAGACTACGCGGCTCACCTGACGGGACAGAGTACGATGTTGTTGAGGAGGCTGCGGTGGAGGTTGCGTGCGCCGCGAAGCCCCAACACCTCCGCGAGGATGCTGGAGAGCAGCGTCACGGCAACCGTGCTGAACGACAGCAGCGTGTATCCACGCAGGTAGTAACCTACGTCTCCGTCATCGCCGCCGGTGTCGCCCTGGTGGTGGAAACATTACATTATTACATCGCTATGTAGCGCTGTATACTGGAGGTGGAAACATTACATTATTACATCGCTATGTAGCGCTGTATACTGGTGGTGGAAACATTACATTATTACATCGCTATGTAGCGCTGTATCCTGGTGATGGAAACATTACATTATTACATCGCTATGTAGCGCTGTATCCTGGTGGTGGAAACATTACATTATTACATCGCACACATTAATCGTTACAATAATACAGAGGCGATGCACGCGTTGCTTACCGTCGTGATGTTGGACGAGTTGTATTCGTAGATGGCGGTGGCGTGTGACGGCATGGCCCACGCTGACAGCCAGAAGTCCATGCAGATCTTTATTCCTTCTCTCACCAGGTGGAGCCAGATGACGAGCATGGACATGGCGGCTCCGCAGGCGAGCATGTACGCCCACCATACACGCCAGACGACGGCACCCGTCTGCCTCTCCTCGCTGCCCATCAGCTGTGTCTTTGTCGTGTTCGCATCTGCGTGGGAGTGAGACGGAATGGCAGAGCATTCAGTGGAGATGCGTGAAGCCCTCAGTCGAAATAACCCTCATCTTATCTCATCTCATCTGGGAGAGTTGACTCATTGCGTGACTTAAAGTCAAAACCCTCAACTTCAAGTTCGGTGATAGGTTGCCACAGCTTAAACTGAAGTGATAAGGGCGTTACGACGTGAAACATTTTGCACGACTTTAATTTGACCTTCGGTGAGAGTCACTTAACCAGCAGCGCGTGGGGATCACATACCATCGCCGTACTGACTTTGTAGTGGCGTCTCTTCGTCTGTGCTCCCCCTATTGGATAAAATAAATAAATAAATACATATATATATATATATATATAAATACACATATATATACCATAAAATACACAAATTCATACTCCATAATGCATTAGGGTCACCTTGCTCAATCATTCACTAAAATCATTCACACAAAAACCGGGAGAGAATCGTAGAAGGAAACCGTGAGAGAACCGGAGAAGGAAACCGAGAGCGAACCGGAGAAGGAAATCAGGAGCAAACCGGAGAAGGAAACCGGGAGAGAACCAGAGAAGGAAACCAGGAGCGAACCGGAGAAGGAAACCAGGAGCGAACCGGAGAAGGAAACCAGGAGAGAACCGGAGAAGGAAACCAGGAGAGAAACCGTTGAAGAAGGAACCGAGGATGGCAGAAAGCCGGAGTGAACCGGAAGAGGAACTCCTGATGTGGATCGAGATTAGAGGGGATGGAAGAGAACCGGAGAAGGAAACCGGGAGCGAACCAGAGAAGGAAACCAGGAGCGAACCGGAGAAGGAAACCAGGAGAGAACCGGAGAAGGAAACCAGGAGAGAACCGGAGATGAAAACCGGAAGAGAACCGGAGAAGGAAACCGGGAGAGAACCGGAGATGGAAACCGGGAGAGAACCGGAGAAGAAAACCGGGAGAGAACCGGAGATGAAAACCGGAAGAGAACCGGAGAAGGAAACCGGGAGAGAACCGGAGATGGAAACCGAGAGAGAACCGGAGATGGAAAACGGGAGAGAACTGGAGAAGGAAACCGAAAGAGAACCAGAGAAGGAAACCAGGAGGCGGTTAAGTATAGAGGGCGCTGCATGCTCACCCGGACAGCGAGCGGTTGTGGTGCATTCCGCACAGCGACTCGAGAGACAGCGTCTTCTTCAGGTGCTGCCGCTCAGCCTCCGTCTGCCCCTCATCAACGTCCGTGTATTGCTTCAGATGCTCCTTAAGCCGCTCCAACAAGTGGCAGTCTCGCTGCTGTAGCTCTTCCAGCGCCCCCTGGTGCACTATAGTGCCGGCGTCCATGACTAAAACCTAGTGAGGAGCAAGACAAGATATGACGGATCCAGTCAATACATCGAATACATCCCACAAGCCTTTCGAGGAAAGTTGGCATCACAAGCGAGCATCATATAATTAAAGGACAAAATGGGCCTCCCATATTACATTCGTGAGGTAGCTAGCTAGTTAGTACAGGGTAGTAACAGTACATACCTGGTTAGCGTAGGGTAGGAACTGTTCGTGGTGGGTGACGAGCAGCACAGTCCTCTTCCTGCGTACTAGCAGCTCCAGCACACCGCGCTCAAACACGTGGCTCCTCACGTGAGAGTCGAGTGCCGCAAACGGGTCGTCCTAGAGATAGCGAGAGAGAGAGTCGTTACTGAGA